TAGATAGATAGATAGATAGATAGATAGATAGATAGATAGATAGATAGGCATAGATATAAAATATATACAAAATAACAGCACTAGAGAGTCTTCAAGGTTTAGTTTCTAAGGATTCTCTTTTTAAAGGTACAGGTTTAAATGCTATTAATTATTCAGAAATTAGGGAAAAACCTCCCTGAGACAAAAGGTTCTGAAAGAACAGAAGTTTTCAGTGGAGAGAATGGGGAAGCACTAGCTTTGAGGCCAGGAACGCCTGATGGGGAAAAGCCCCTGGTGGTAAAATGATGTAATTAGGGCCACTTTGGAGTTCTAAACATTCATACGGTTTAGGAGACCAGGCTTAAAATGTGGGATTTGGTTTCTAGAAAGATTGTTGGATGATGACAAATATAAATTTTCTGACCTATAAGTGATGTTAAATAATATTTGCCACCTCCCAGACAAAGAGTAAAAACCAATATACCAAGTACGTGGATAAAGAGGGAAACAGGTAATTTCATATATTGCAGGCAACATAACTTTGTGCTTTCTTTCTAGAAGGCAAAACACCAAACAACATCAAAAGACAAACAAAAAAAGGCCCTAAAGATATCATACCTCATTTCCCATAAATTTTATTCTGAAGAATTAATCCTAAAATAGTACAAGAGCTACAGCCAAGATTTACAGTGAAAAGAGTTCATGATGCCATTATTTCTAAGAGCAAAAATTCACAACCACCAATATTTCCAAGTTAGCTAAATCAAACATGGTATATTTAATAATATGAAATATAATGTAGGCATTAAAAATTATAATGTCCAGGAATGCAAGTGACATCTTGATAAGTGAAAAACTCAGGCTAAATAGTATATATGGTTATGGTTTCCATTTTGTTAAAAATTACTACAAAGAGAAAATACTAGAATGACCTGGAATGACTAGTTGTTTTCTTTTTTCTTATAGAGAGTAGTGGAATTTTCAGTTTCTAAAAGCAAAGTGTACAACTTTTATGATTATTTTTTAAAGACTAACAAACTGTTTAAGTTGAGATAAAGGATAGGAAATATTTTCATTCTATCCCAAATATTGCGATGTGCC